TTATTGTAATTTTATTTAAATATAATTTTTAATAGTAATTACTATGACTTGAGTGTTGATTTAATTATTTATGTGTGGTGAAATGTGAGATTCCACAAATGTGGAAGCAGCCAGAAACTTGTCTCAAAAGGTATTTATATAAATGTTTACGTAGATCTGCGTAAAAGTCAACGGATTGTCATTATTATTATCATCAATATCATAATGATTATAGTACGTTATATTTGCAATGTTCTGTCACCAGGGACTTTTTCTCTCTCTCTCATTCTCTCTTTGGTTCTCTCGCGCAATACTTGGGGGCAGCATAGTCGGCTCTGTCGTTATAAAGTCATTTTGCTTAAAAGTCGTCTAATTTAGACGATTCCTTGATGATAGTTCGTTTAGTTTAATGTAATGCAATGATGATGTTTAGTTGTCTGCGTATGTGTGAGTGTGTGTGTGTGTGTATGTTCGTGTGTGTTCGTTTCGTTTATTTAGGTTTTTTCATTTGCTCTCGTACTCTCGCTCTTCTACGCATCTCTGGCACGCCCTTCTCGTAGCTGCCAATCCCTTCAACAATTCTCTAGTTGCAGTTGAGCTACAGTTGAAATTCACTAAGTAAAATCTCATCACGACTGCTTCGGATGCTGCACGGGCGGAGGCGGTGCCGGCTTGAAGCACTGCAGCAGAAACGCGGTATAGACAACGAATGCCAGCGCCAGGGCTATCAGAGCGTACATGAATATGTTCAGCTCTGGCTGACGGAAGCGATTCTTGCGCAGCCATTCGAGCACCTCATCCTCCGAGAGCAAATCGCCTGTGAAATGAGAAGGGGAACAAATTTAAATTTAATAATAATAATAATAGAATAGTTGCAAAGTTCAGAAATATATTTAATAATTATGCTATCATAGGAAAGTAGGACTCTACACTACCGAACAGCAGCTGATCAGCTAATCGCCCGATCGTAGGTACCCAAAAAGGATGAGAGAGGGTGCTGTAAGCGGAGGAAGCTCTACTTCTAGACTTACCTCTATATATGCTGGGAAAACGACGCCGGAAATAGACCATGGCTGGCAGTTTGGTAACGCCCCACTTTTTGGCATAGCGCGAATCGGCCATTTTGACAAAGGTTATATCCAGATTATCCGTTTCGCTATCAATATTCTCCAGTTTCTCCAACGCGGCCACGCTATCCGGCTGATTGTGCTCATCTGAAGATATTTATATATTATAAACAGCTACAATTTCTATAAACTATTTAGCACACTCACAAAAGAACACGGATAGAAATTCGTTTTCCTCAAGCAGCTTATCAAGCATTTTGCGATTAACCTCTTCAATTTCGTTTTTAATTTCGAATACATCCTGAGATGTTAGCCAAGTGATAACCTTATCATGCTGATGTAAATCACCATCATAGAGAACGGGCACTTGTTTGCTGAAAAGGAAATAGATGTTAATAATATATCTATTTTATCTTGGAGCTGACTGAGTTCCTAACTCACCGGAAATATACCAACGAGGGTATATTGACAATTTCGTATTTCTTGGCCGCTTCAACGCTTGCAATCTTAACAAAGTCAATGCCAAACATATCTGCCTCGCCATCAATTTCTTCCAGCTCCTCCAGAATTTCCTCACACTCAGCACAATCATCATCATCTAAAAGAAAATTCATTAAGCTCCCATGGAAATTTTGGGTAATTCTTCCGACATACAAAAGAACACAACTAGTAAAGTGGATTCAGCCATCAGACGATCCAACATGCGTTCATTAACCTCTTCAATTTCATCGGCCAATTCGCGATTATCATCGTCTATCAGCCACTCTAGGACAGATTGTTCATTCTGCAGATCGCCCTCAAAGAGCAAAGGATTGCCATTGCTGTAAGATATATATAGTATTAATATATAAACCAGTTTTCTCTATATTTAAGCATTGCGCACCGGAAGTAAACTAAAGCGGGGAACGTCTTAATGGAATATCTCTTGGCCAACTGTGGATCCTGTATCTTAACCATGTGTATGCCAAAAACATCGCATTCATCATCAATCAGCTCGAGACCCTCCAATATCTGATCACAGATATTACAATTGATTTTGTCTGGCAAACATAAATAAAATATATTTAATATTAAAATAATTGTATAATAACTATGATATATGAATGTGAAGCGCTCGCTGTGTAGTAGATAAGTTAGATAAGTTATAGAGGCAACGCATAAAGAGAAAACGCCAAAAAGTAAAGGTATTCGCGCCCAAACTAAATTTTAATATTTGTAATTTAATTGAATTGAATTTTTAATTTAATTTAACTTTGAATTTTGTTTCTTTTTAATTAATTATGTATGAAGTAAAAAGTATGTACCCTAAGTAGTTGGGTGGGGCATTTAGTTTGGTCGATAATACATTTAGTAGCCTTAGTTTTTATACTCATTCAGGGAGTGATAGACTCGTATATTTGTGGGTGTACTTGTGTGGTAAGCTGATAAGATTTTACCAATACAAACATCAGGGGCGTGGCAAATCGGGAAATACTATATGTGGAAAGGCTGTTATCTAATGCGTTAGAGACTTGAACAGGGGCTGCCTACATAGTATTAAATTAGATACTGGATAGGTTTTTGCCGACTGAAGGCGTGGCTATACCATAGTTGTATATTTATTAATTTTAGGTAGGAGGGCAGCTTTAATTTTCTAGCTTCTTCTACCGACGACCCAAAATAATTTTGAAAAAGCTATATTTTGTAATTCGGAGCTAAGCTCTACAATGGGAAAATGAAGTAATTGCCTTTCAGTTTACCACACAAAATTGAACTCTTTTTGGACCGTGAATGAGTATCATGCAGTCGGTGCTGCCCGACTGCAAAGTTCTTTCTTGTTAGTATAAGAGTTTGTAGAAGAGAGCAAAGAGATTGGTTTTTATGTTTTTTAGAATTTTTAGAATTGTTTATCTTGGTTAGCAGGAAACATGCGCGTGATTTTATTTAAATATATATTTTTAAAATTTTAAATATTCGTTTTTAATTCGTTGGGCTTTGGCACGATTTGAATACGGAATACCTTGTTTTTGGATACGTTTTCTTTTACGCGAAATGTAGCTTTGTACGAATTGGCTGGATGAGTATTTGGTTGTGGTCAGGTTGCTTTCTTTAAGACTAGAGGGTGAGCAGAAACTTCGACAGTAAGCGGGAGGCTTGCCCTTGCGCTCAGCCGGCACTGCGGCGTTACGGATATTGAATTGGAATATACACATACACACACGAATATATATGTGTGTATATATATATATATGGAATATTTGGATTGGTTGTGGTGGTGGTGTTTTGTGTTGTGGTGCATTTGGTTCAGTGGTGCAGTGGTGCATTTGGTGGTGGAGTGCCAGGGTATATAATGATATATAATTGATATTATATGAGATTATGATAGGATTTGGTTAAGTGTCATCGTCTATAGAGTTCATATACTTACAGAAATAAACAGCTAAATATTGCGTCTCTTCGACCATAGTCTCGAGCATTTGACGTGTTATCAGCTCAATGCGATCCTCGGTTTTCTGTGTTATAAGCCACTGTAGAACTTCCTCCTCCTCGCTGAGCTCACCTGGATGTAGTTAAACAGATAGGTGACTGGGTTTCAGTTAGGGCTATTTTTTTTGCCTTACCTTCAAATACATTGGGTATGCCGCCTTCGAAGTAAACTAGCGCCGGATACTCGTGCACTCCATAGCCGTCCGCCACAGAGAAATCGCGAGTTTTCACAAATGTGATGCCATGCTTATCGCAATCATCGTCTATATTCTCCAGCTCCTCCAAGACTTTGGTGCACTGCTCACAGCCATCGGCATCTAAGAGAGGTTTGTTTCGTTTTTTTTTTCACAAGGAGGAATATATGCATATAAGAAATTGTGTGCACACTGAACAACAGAAGGTTTTTAAGGGTACATAAGGGGCGTGGCAAGGTATATAATATACAAAGAACACACTACGAGCAAGCAAACTACACAGAAACTAAGCACGGGTTCAACAACTTTGTGTGTGTGTTTGTGTGTATGTGTGTATAAAAAGGCACATAGAGTATATATACATGGGTAAGAAGATAGCACAGCTAGACACATTTAGAGAGTGTGAGAGAGAAAGCTAGAGAGAGACAGAGAAGAAGAGAGAGTGTGTGTGTGTGTGTTTGTGTTTTTGTGTGTGCTTGGAGTGAAGGTGCGCTACAGCAAGTTTCTGGTTTTTTGTTTTTGGGTAAGACATTCTCACAGGTGTATGTATATACATGTGTGTGTGTGCGTGTGTACAGGTGTTCATTGGTATAGGTGTATGTGTGCTGGGTGTTTTTGTGCTTTGGTTAAACATTCTTGGACTCATTCCATTTGATTAAATTGTTTGGTCACGTTTGGGTGCGCTACCATCTTCATGTTTGCCCGCTGCAGCGGCAGCATCCGTTGCTCCACCCTCACCACCAGCACCACCAGCAGCAGCAGCACCTGCCTCGGCAGCCGCAGCAGTTGCCTCTGGATCGCTGCCAAAGGCGGCGGCCGCACTAGCTGACCCGCCATCCTGTTGATGCTGTTCGCGCTCCTTTTTCAGACGCGCCTTGCGCGCTGCTTTCGAATTGCAAATATCGCATTTGGTCTTATTCCCTACAGTATGTGATTTGTTGTTTTTTTTTTGTGCAGTTTTTTTTTTTTTTTTTTGTTTAAATGATTTTTGATAGAAATATATAAATGTGGTAAAAAGTCTTGTTGGTTAGATACATTTCAGCGCTGATCAAATTTATATATAGATAAATAAGAGCTTAAATAATAAAGACCTAAAGAAGTAATTCCCATATTGACTGCAAACTGTTTGCGCAAAAGAGTGAGCATAAAATATACCAAGTACTTGACTTAAGACAAATGTGACAAAATGCGAGACGTTAACAACATAAATGCGCTGCAAAGTATGCTATGAAAAATTGATTATTTGACTTGTACTTCAGCATAGTTTTATGTCACCAAACCGATTGCAGCTGTAAAACGTTTGATAGACTTAACAAACTTTCTACTTTTTTTGGGGTTTCTAATACGAGGTTTGTTCGAGAAATAATGTGAATTTGGATTTTTGATTGAATGGATGATTAAATAGGAAATTCAATTTAAATTTAGTGAATTTGAGTCTTCTGTTGGTTGAATAAGGCACGAGACGTTCACGCTGCACTTTATGGAATGCTTCTTTAGAGAAGAGAACGGCAGCAGCGCAGTCTTAGAATAAGAATTCTTTAAGTACTTTGAAATTTTAATGGCTGAGATTCAATAGTCAATAACTTAATATTTTTTAAAGTTAAGAATTAAATTTTTTACTCTTAAGCTTCAGATTGGAGTTCACTAAAGTCGTATTGCTTTTAATACGAATAAAATTTTTAAAAAAATCCCTTTTGGTCATAAATTTATTTTAAAAAAATAAAAATTCTGCGGATATAAAAAATAATTTATATTTTTTATGTTTTTATATGCATAGACTAACTTATATTAAATTTTTAAGTGCCAACAAATTCGATCATTTTGCATGATCAATTGATCAATTGAACAGCTGTTCTGCTTGAGCTCGAAATGAAGCCAAATTCTAGAAAAATTTATAAGGAATAAAAGGCAATGAAGCTGCAATCAACGCATACCTTAAAAATATACCAAAATCTTTACAAAAATCCCAAAAATTCACAAATTTCGAACACGCCTCGTAATTAGCTAGATTTGTTAAATATATCAGACGTTTTGGTTGTATTGAACTTACAGAAATAGACGGCAATGGAGCCAGACTCTTCGATTAATTGAACAAGTCTTTCGCCTTCGAGATCTTCAATAACATCTCCACTTGGATCCTTTTGCGTAAGTAACCAAGATAGGATCTGTTCTTCTTCATAAAGATCACCTGCGAACAAGAATTTACAATTTCAGTAACTGAAGTTTGCCCATAACTGTTTCTTCTGATATTAACCGGCGTATATAACTGGCTCCTTGGAGGTGGGCTTAAAGAACACAATGGCGGGCAGTGCGAAGACTCCATATTCCTTGGCCATTTGCTTGTCGTCGATTTTGACAAAGTCAATGCCAGCCTTGTCGGCATCATCATCGATGTGCTCCACCTCGGCCAGGACGCGTGGACACTGCTTGCACTCGTCGCTGTCTGTGATGGGTATATAAAGGAGAAGTGATTCCCAAATATGCCTAAACTCTATGGAGTTTGAGCGACTTACAGAATATGACGGCAACATAATCGGAATTTTTGCGTATTTTCTCAAACATTTTCCGATTGACCTGCTCGATGTGATCGGTCATTTCCATGTTCGCAGGACTTGTCAGCCAATCGAGGATCTCCTCTTCGTCATCGATGTCGCCATCGTAGTTGATATATTTGCCCTTGCGGAAATAGGTCAAGCCGGGCGGATTTCTATAGCCATATTTCTTGGCCATCAGCTTGTCGTGCATTTTGACTATATAAATGCCATATTCGGCAGCCTCATCGTCGATCAGTTCAATGTGGCGCAGCACGCGCGGCGAGTCCGGATCATCCTCTTTATCTGCAAAACATATGGGAGAAGTATAAACGTTTCATAAATTTAAAAATATTCCTAAATATAATTGAGAAATTCTTAAACAACTTTTCTATTCTTCGCTTTTTTTTTTTTTTTTGTTGGGCAGTTACAGTTTTTAGTGGGCGCGCAAAAAAAAAAAAACTCATACTAAAGTACTTATGTATATATTGATATCTATATTTATTTATTGATATTTTTATTCAGTTTGGTTTATGCTTAGCTTTACCTTATGCATACTTACAGAAGACAACCGCTAAAAAGTCTTTGGTGGCTATATATTCAATTAGTTGATCGCGGTTTATAAGCTCAATGCTTTGATCGGCCTTCTGTTCCAATATCCAATTGAATACCTCTTCGTTACTCTCCAAATTACCTGCATGGCAAACGAATTGTTTATTAAACATTTTTGACAATATTTTTGTTTTGGCATTGAATTTTTATTTTTAATTTTTTGTTTGTTTTTTTTTTTGGTTTCAGTTTCGCACATACCTGTTCGCTGCAGTTGGTCAATCAATCAAAAGTTCTTTTCATTGTTTTCTCTTTATAAACAAAATTAATAAATTTTGGTTTTGTTTTTCTTGTTGTTTTTTTTTTTCCTCTCTCTATAACAATTGGGCATTGTGCCAATATTTGTGGAAACTGGAGGCAATATTTTTCATTTGGCTGACAATTTGACTAAAAATAATGCAAAATCTTAAACAAATTTTTACATATCTGTTTCAGATCTATATATAACTGATGAATAATTACCGCAATCGATATACGAAAACCAAAAAAAACATGATAAATTCTATTTTGTTTTTTTTTTTTTCTGTTTGTTTTGTATTTATGCGAACGCTTAGAAAACTAAATAAATTTTGGTTTATTTTTTTTATTCATTTGCAATTTACAATTGTTTCAGTTTTTCGCTATTAAATTTTACAAAAGTTTGTGTGTGTGTTTTTTACATATAAATAGTTTAAAAAGAGTTCATAAAAACTTTAACAAAATACACATTTTGCTTGAGTTTTTTTTTCTCAATAATTTTTGAGTTCATCTTTACAACTGCTGTTCAACAACAAATATATAAATAGTTTTATAAAGCTTAAAAAATAAAATTAGATAAGTTTTTCATTTTCTTTTCTTTTTTGTTTGTTTGTGTTGCAAATATCGATAACAAATTGGCTAAAAGTGAGCCAGAGCAGAGAAGAGAAGACAGTGAAAGAGAAAGCGGTTTGCGAGGCCAGTGTTGCAAAATGTCGCAACGGATTTGACAGCCATTTTTCTTGTATATGTATATATATTAAGTATACGAACTGTATGATGCATAGAAGCGAGTATATTGAATTAGACAACAAAGTAGTTTAGTTCAGGCTTTTTATAGTAAGCTATGTAAAAATATAGTATAATATATAGTAGTTGCATTTGCGCTTCTCTCTCATTGTAAAATTGTTTAGAAAATATTTAGCATTTGTTTTGTGTTTTTGTTTTTTTATACGCTAGCTACATACATAAATGTAAATTGTATATATCGTAACAAAAAAATAATAAAAGTAGTAAGTAGTATCAAAAGTAGTTTATGCTCAGTTATTGACAATCTAGACTTTTTTTTTGTGATTTTTTGAATAATGTTAATAGTTTTTTTTTTTAGTGTTAATAGTAAGTTAAGTTGTTGCAGTAATTGCTTTGAAATTTGAACAAAGTTTGTTGTTTGGCGCAATTGAAATCGAAATCCATTGACAAAAAAATGCAACAAAATTGTTTATTTAGACAGGCAGCCTCAACAGAGAAAAAAGTTAATTAGCGCAAAAGTGCAAAAGTACCAAAAAGAGTTTAAAATTTTCTGTTTTTTTTGTGAGTTGCGTGGCCAACTTGATCAGCGAGCTGGCCAATTGGTATTTCCACTGCAGTTGACGCTGCAGCACGCGTGGAACAAAATGAGTGACAGTACTTCACTAGAAAAATTCGTTTAACATGTCGTATGAGTAATATTCGGGTATTAAATATATTAAAGTAACGCATTGTGCATCCAACTCACTTTTCTTTCTGCATTGTTGTTCTTGTTGGGCAGTGTAGCTAAAATGTTTATGTTTTTAGTATGTATATACATATGTGTTTGCTCTTTGTTACACAACCAGCTGAGTTAAGTTTTCGTTGTTGTTGTTGTCTTTTTGGATGCACTTACAAATTAGGATATTCATGACAATCACAAACAAAAATCACACATTAAACTTGATCGTTCAGATAGGGTTATATATATGTTTATATATATATATATATATAAAGTAACCTGTTGTTCAAGGTTTTTATTTTTTATTTTTACAGCGCTCTTAGATCTTAGACTTATGCGTGCTTTGCTTTACTTAGCTTTTTTTTTTAGTTTTTGTTTTTGTTTTTACATTGCATTTCAAAGTTTCGTTTGTTACTTTAATTTGACATTCATACAAACAGTTTTTGTGCGTGTTCTTAAATTGTTTTTGTTTTATTTAATATTGTTGCCTTACTCCCACAGAGAGATATCCTGAAAAATGAGGTCATACAAATTTTTTAGTCGATTTTGGAAAAAATTAATGCCTGCAAGACACAAAAAAAAAAGAGAAAAAAAAGAGAGAGAGAAATATACAAATCAAATTACAAGCAGATATGTCTGTTTTGTGTTTTTTTGGATGGGTGTATATATTTATAAATATATGGGTTTCAAAACTGAACAATCTCTGTCTATTGATATATGTATGTTTTTTGTGTCTATCAATTTGGAAAGTGGGATTTTGGTATTGTATTCTCACGCGACGTACCGGTTTTAACGTTCAGCTTATTGCCAGACTTCTTCGACGATTTCTTTGGTTTCTCCACCTCAACGGATTCATCATCCAGATCTTGCACTTTGTTCAGGGGCTTCTTGTTCGATTGGCCAGATCGTTTGTTGGCATACGAAACTTTCACCAATGGCACATCATCATCGTCATCATCATCATCATCGTTGTCGTCATCATCATCATCATCATTTTTGTTAATAACCTTGCGCTTTTGTGTCGGCTTTTGGGCATTGGCATTGGGCTTGGGTTTGCTTGGTGTTTGGCTCGATGGTTTTTGGTTGGTTGTGCTGGCAAATTTGAAGTTGCCACCTTGACGCTTGCTCGATTCACCATCGCTGTGTCCGATGCGCTGGGCGGTCATTTTAGGAACTTTCGTTGACTTCTCCAATTTGGTTGGACAGCATTGGAATGGTTTGTAATCGTTGGGCACATAACTGTTGCCGCGCTTAGCTGAATGGCCGTCGTGACCCAATCCAACATAGAAACATTCGTCATCTGTTGTGAGCAAACAAACAAAAACATTTTGTCAGATTGTTTAGTTCTTAATTTTTTTTTTGTTTTTTTTTTTTTTTTTTTAATTTATAGAAATCACTAACAAGAAAAAAGTAAACAAAAGTGCATAAAGAGTAGGCGAGAAATTACGAAATAAAAG